GGAGCTTACGAAACCCTGAATTTGACAGTAACAGTGACCCATAGACATATATCTTGTCTGTAGTTAATTCGACATTTTTTCAAAGTTACCACGCTCCGACCCCGGTACGTAATCTATAGAGAAAGTTCATACGCATTACGCGTTTATAATTAATTGAACGTTTAATCCTGTCTAAGCATTTTGCGTTGGTTGCCGATTAAACGGAGAAATAAATATATCGTATTAAACGATAATATTGACGGTAACGTTAATTCTCGCGTTGCTGTAACATTTACCGTTTCAGGCAACTTCCACATAGACATCAAACGATTCCAACGATTTATGTGACATCACACGATTTCTAATTCAGCAAATAATGTTTGTACGAATGTGAAAGAGGATTCTGTTCAGTAGCGCCGTGGTATAACGGCTCGAGTACATTCGGAATTGATTCGCAACGAATAAATTAGTTAATCGATTGGCGGAAAAGTGGAAATCTCGACGCTGTATCCCGAATAACCACGGAATTAAATCGCTCGGAGCGGAAATCGTGAATTTTAATTCGTTTACGGGCTTCTGAACAGTCCGCACGGAACGTGTAATTACAGTACGATGTGGATGCCTCGTAATGATCTATCGGAAACAGGATCTCGAGTGAAAGAACGTTTATCTGCTGTAGACGGTCTCTAACCGGCTGTGAATCTCGCATTATCTGATAGATTTATCAGTTGATCGGTAGTCTGATAATCAGCGTGATTTCTATACTTACTTTTTCTTTCTATTTTTCTTTTTTTATTGCGAATGGTAATTAAGATTTTTACCGGAATCATTGCACCCACGGTTTTCACGCTTCCCATAAACGCAACATTATCCTCGCCAAAGACTTTCTCGTCTGTTCCGCAGGTTTAATGCACGCAAAGAAGTTAATGCGGCACATTGAGCGTTTCACACAAGCGGTTTACACGAACAAACAAGAATACCGTCGCATGTGATTACGCAGAAACGATTGTGGGACTTTCACCGAGCGGGAATATCGATGACTAATACGATTTCAACAATTACAGCCACAGTCACGCGCATTCAAATGTTCAAAATTTTAGATAAATATACAAAAGGTTCGGTGTTACCTTATTATTGGGTTGAACGGAAAGTTTTTTTTTGCGTATTCTAGGTAACGCCATTACAACATCCGATCGCATAATTCATTAGCAGTTATTCTATAATTTTTGCCATCTCATCTAGTATTCTATCACGTACATCGGCTGTAATTGGATTTTGAGATTCCCGGTTCATTTTTTGTAAGAAAAATCATCCGAAAACTGGTAATAAACTGAATATTCGTGACGCACTGTTTTATAAGTTTAGGTTAAACGGCTGAATTGATCGCCACAATTGCAGCTACTGGGCACCTCAGTTAAAGTTAATGAACCAAAAGTTAGAGTATGCTATGAATTATTTGCAAGGGATTTAATCGAACCCTAATTTTTTATTTCTTGGATCTGCTGCAGGAATTTGTTATACCACTCATTCTTGAGATGTTCAGGGATGAGGAGTATTGGATATGGCAGATACGGATGGTAGTACATGGATACTACCATTCGAGCATTAAAGAACAACGAAAATTAAACTAATAAATTCGTCGTGGTAGGATCAGGGAATCTTCAGACATTAAATTCAGCTATCGATATTTCTGCAGACACCTTCCAACCCCTAACACTGTTCGATCATTTCCAGTTGTGTGATCCTCGATTTCAACAACACACCACCACGCAGCAACCTCCATCCAGGTGAAATTGATTTACGTCAGAGTGTTCGATTTAAACGGTGAACCGCCAATTCATTTAAAATGGTAAATTCCATTTAATTAGAGTTTCACCTGGTGATGCGGCTATCTCGAAACGCTATCTCGAATACATCTATGCCATACGTACGTACGCGCGTCGTTGCACGACGACAACAAAATAATCCGCGGAACAATTGCGTGCTGGTTAACAATTAACCGCGAACGCACGTTTCTTCTCCGAGCGGCTTGCTTTTAATTAAACAGCACGAACACCGTTTGATTTTCCAACCGCTTCCCTGAACTATAAAACGCAACGAAGCGGTTGGAAAATGTAATTGAAATGTATCTAATTCGTCGCTTTTCTCGATATCCCGCGTGGCTTCGGGCATAATATTCCAATTGGACGATTAAAAATTACCACGACTCTCTCTATTTTCCTCGAAAAAGAAAAAAAAAGACAATTTAACATTCTTCCTTGTTCTTCGCATTCCTCGCCAGAGACAACTTTTAAAAGGTCGGCTTCCGGTGCTTATCTACATCGCGAAATATTAACGAAGTCCACATTTCGCCGTGTAATTAATGTCACTAGTTCTCCGCCGTGCCACGTTCTACAATGTAGATTTTCGAACGGGGTTGCCCAGCGGCAGCGGCGACCAGCCAGCGCGCGCGGCCCAGTCCGTCGGAGCTTGACCAGTGAAAGGCGAATTTCTTTCGTTGCAAATATCACGAATCGCATATATGTATATATACGATATCGAAATTATCCGATAAACGAGTTCACCGATAGGAACGACCGTAAACTAGGGGAGTTAATGCTGCTTTCAACGGTCTACACCGCGGCGAGTGGCGATTTTCGTGCGAAGAACTCTTCGGTTAAATTCCTGTTTTAGATTAATCCAATTTACACTTGCCGTGAAATTCACGGGCTGTTATTTGCGGCAAAGCTATCGCGTGTCTGATTTTACTACGAGGAAATTGATATTAACAGGGAATCAATTAAAATTATTTCTTCACTCGTTTATATTGGCCCGTTTTCGATCGGACGAGTTTTCGAAAACAAGGTGTTTTATCTGTTTAACCGTTTAATATCGCGAGCCACGCGATACGAAATGGCTAAATTCAATTTACTGGTTGTAAGATTGCGGTTTATTAAATCCACGAACGAAGTTGGGCGGTTCGACCAGCCGAGAATTATAGAAAACCGGATACACATTGATCAGAATATAAACTTAAATGTCAGGTTTATGTGAAAAACCTGATTCCAGGACAGACCACGGCACCTAGAGCAACGTTACAGTTTCGAAATTCCAAGGTTTGGTCGGTATGATAATTCTCCCTCGAAAGGTGGCTCAACGGTAGCTCGGTTAAGTAAGTACACGGAATATAGAGCGAACATTATTGGGCTCAGGCTAACCATTTTCTCTGGAAGTTGATTACCTGACAACGTGGGAGTAACCAGGGATAATGACATCTCTGGACATTTCAGATATCCCGCTTTTGGTATGATTTCTGTCGACCCAATTCCGTTCGCCGTGCTGCTCGTGATTGCTCCCTTCAATCTCCGACAGGAAATTCCGAGCCAAAGGCTCGAACGACCATTTGGAATCCCTGAAAACGTAACTTCGGTGCTCAAGAGTCGCAAGAAGACGCATCAGTAATTTTGGCCCAAGTGAGCTAGAATTATATATAATCTTTGAATCTTTTTTTGAAGCTGGACACTCTTGTCACACCAGCCGAAATATCAGGCATAAAATAGCAGCTCAAAGATTTACACGGTTATTTCTGCTTGGCACATTATAATTCAGAAATTTGGCTAGAGTATCGGATACACAGAGCATTAACTTTGGGTTAGAATCGTCCGATGACAGATCGAGCTGCAATTGAATATCGCTTCTGCACCTGTCTTATGTCTCTACCTTCTCAGTAGTAGCACAACAGACAAGGTGTTGCTGTGTGTAACCTGTTAAAAATTCTGTCATCTGTTTTATAATGCAAATTGTTATTAATTATAACCAGCAGAAATCGAAGTACAGAGTGACATGTAAGATGTGTTTATTTTCATGAATTTTTGCAAATGAACCATATTTACTTTATCAGAAGTGATTAAACGTCAACTGTATCTTAATATTAATTGGAAATGTTAAATAATAATTACTTTATTTATATGATTAAAGAACGACAATCTATTGATGTTCATAAGATATCATAAATATTAGTTGTTTTATGCATGTGGGCTTCAATAGATATTTGTGTGAAAAATTTGAAAAAGTTTATAGTATTAATGGGACTGGAAATTCTTCGATCGATATTTAGTCGTTATCGTTTGTGGTAGTACCAGAGCAACGCGGTATGCTTTTCGTCGTACTGTAAGGATCAAAGTTCAAAGAAACGTAACATGGAAATTAAATATATATGTTCGTCGTCACAGCAGTCGAATGAATTATTCAAATTCGATGTAACTAAGGAGTACATAAACGAAACCGAACAACAGAACACAGATTGACGCGAACACGAACGGGAATTTATCAAATTAGCATACAGGTGCACTTTTCGTAAGAGTGAACGGAAAATTATACTTGCACTTGTATACAAGACGTAAATGACCGGCTGCCAAGAATGTAGATATTCATTAATCTCTACTCGTGGTCAGAAAACATTTTCTTAATTATTATTTATTGCTACAGTTATTATTATTTTCAGTTTGCTTGTAAACGGACCATTAAATCTTAGCGATCCATTAAAATGGCCACAGGTCAGAATAACAAAAATAATGTAGCTATTTTCATTAAAAACTAGCTTCTTATTTAAAAAATCAGATAAGTTTATTATTTCTATATCCAGATAATCTTTAACGATTCTATCATCGACAACAAATCAATTTCCTATATTGTTATTTGTACTCATATCACAATCTCTGACAATAACCAAACGATTCGAATTGTCTAACAGTTTTAAATTTTTTAGAGTTAATAAAAAAAAAGTAATTGGTCATTTTAGGTACACGTGTTTCTTTTCATTGCCCCGTGGTTACTTAACGTTGCTTACTTGGTCGCACACGTGATTGCAGTCGCCCAGGGGTCGGATCGATACAGACAAACAGCGCTCACAGAGCATGGTTTCTTCAGACTTTCAAGATATTCACGTGTGAGAGTAGCAATATTAGGGTTAATGAAAAGAACATTTCATTTAATCGGCGCAGAATCATGCGCACAACTTGATTCAATTAAGCAAAGGTTTCTTTCGTGTTGAGAGTCTTTATTGAACTTAATTTTTGTCTTCTGTAGCATAAGTTTTCCAACGAGACGTTTATTAAAACGGAAACGCTCGTTGTGTGCCCAGTAAGGGGTACGCGATTGTTGAACATCAACCAAAGTCAAATATTATTTATCCTTCATCTCGAGGAAAGATGCGAAAAACACTCGCGTGAAAACTTTGTCGAGCTTAATAGTTGCCGTTGTCCATCTTGATCTCTCATTTGCAGTCTAATCGTCGCCGCCAGTCATGACTTCCATGAACTCTGCAACAATTAAATGAAAACTATGATACGACAGAAGCATTAATCTACATTTAAAAATATTCGAAAAAAGTATACTACTTCCCACTATAATTCTTAATGTCTTCATACTTAATTTTAGGTTTTCAAAAATGATATGTATAATTATTGTACGTAATACATTTCCCTCAGGATCGGTAAAATTTAGCAAACTTCGATAATATTAAAATTATATCTGCCATAATATCTTTCAGTTTCCATAGTTTCCATACAAGAATAGATTTCATTGCAATAATACTTTCATAAGCATCAAAGGTAAACAAGACTCTTGAGTCTCAAGACAAATGAAATCGTTATTAGGAATAAAGAATTGATGTCGATTATAAATAGTCAGCTTATGGTATGAATAATGGCCACAAGGTTGTGCCGCGGGCTGCCGGAAGCCCGAGGTGACCAGAAGATGGTGGACTCGAGCTGCGTGCGCGACAAGCGTTAATTAATTAAGAAACTGATAGATTCTTGGCAAACCAGACGTTTACGTGTTCCCTGTGATTTTCGAACGTGGAATGCTCGCACGGGATCTGGCGTTAGTTGTTGTTGGCGTTCGACAATTCCGTCCCGCTTGCAATTAATTTGTGCACCGTGCCACGGAAAATTCTTGGTTCCAGCTCACCGTCGAAGTCGAGGGTGCCGGAGCCGTCCGCGTCGATTTCCTCGATCATCATGTCGAGCTCGGCGGGCGTCAGTTTATCGTCCAACTCGTGAAGAATGTCACGGAAAACGGCGGTGGTGATGTACCCGTTTCCTTCTTTGTCGTACAATCGGAATGCTTCGCGCAACTCCTGTTGCATCGCCTCCGCGTCCTCCTCCACCAAGAATCTGGCAGCCAGCGTGCAGAACTCCTCGAACTCCAGTAGACCGGAGCCTGTCGAGATCACGGAAACGGTTCAGGAATTCAATTTCGAGAGGCATTCGAGATAGTATTGTTCGTAGTTGCTTTGATTCGTCCTGTCTAATTGTCAGGTATTCGCGTAAATTCTGTTTGCTGAATTTTCTGTGAAGATTAGCTGGGAAGTAGATAGAGTGAATCTGAGTACAGTCTTTGAGTTAAAGTTGTATCTAATGTGTTCTGATCGAAAGATCTAAGACCGTGAAATAGAATCTGAAATATACGCGAAATATGGGAAGCAGATGTGAAGGTAAACTGTGAGAATAGTTTTGAAAATGAGTAGTAATTGAACACTCACTAGAATTTAATTTTATACTCTAACAAGCAGTTGAATTACTTAGGATATGAAAGAAGTGTTTTCTAAGTTTAATATTCCGATGAATTAAGATTCACCTTTCATTTGATTTGAGAATTAGCAGATAATTTTGATCATTTCATTGGAATTGTAAGTCGTGTTTAATGTTAGATTAAAACCGGTTGGCTCACCATCTTCGTCAACTTCCTGAATGATTTCCTTCAGAGTCTTCTCGCTAAGCTCGTAACCCAACATGGTCAATATCGTGCCCACCATGTCTGTGCCGATGCTGCCTTTCTTATCGTGGTCGAAGGCATCGAACGCCTTCTTGAGAACTGGAATATGACAAGGTTAATCGCGACCGATGACGAGTATTGAAAACCACCTCCATCTATAGAAGAAACCGATTACTTACGGGCAATTTGGTCCTTGGTCAGATCATCCTGGAACAATGAAATACAAAAGCATTACACTCTCCTACGGAACTCCTGTTTCACATACAAAATTCAAGAAACAAATAATCAAAAACAAAGACTTGTTTATTTTAAAATATTTGAAAATAATTTTAAATAATAATCTAGTTCCAGGTAGCACAAATATATTTTGGTAGAAACTGATGAATAAAGATGTTTCACGGTAGATCTGATTGGTAACGCACCATTGTTGTTAGGTGTCTAGGTTGGTTAGGTGTTCACTGAATGTTCAGGTGTAACAACACGACAACTTCGACGTCTTATCCGGGTATGCACCAGATTCTGGCTGTGAACTTCGGTTTTATGTAGACATAACGATGATCTTCTGGCACGTGATTGACCGGGGTAGTATCTACGTAGGATCTCTAGCGGTTTTCAAATTCATCGAGGACACTCCCCACTCTGTTTCCGTAAAACGGGAGCTTCAATTGTGTGAATTCCGAGGCAACGTACTCGATTTTGAAACTCTTCCTGCTGGCATCCTTGTCTAGTCTCACCCGTGTTAATTCATTCCGATCGAGCCAACTGTTTACAAATTGGAAGTCACGTTTTAGGTGTTTAGATTTCATTTGTTTGGTAATCGTTAATACACCACATGCCAAAATTCGTTCAACGAACACCGAAAAGAAAGAAAACAATATATTTATTTCACTTAAATTCGTAATATATTTATTTCAGTGTACTCTACTGTATTACATTACTTCACGCGTATCTTGATATTTCGTCCAATGAAATTTTTGTTTCTTCGTAAGGTAATGAAATGACAAGCACGTAATAAAGAAAGTGCAATGAAATAGACGTTTCGTGACAACTAACCACCACAGAATTAAATTATTTTAGTGATACAAGTTTTATATTTTTCTAAAGTAAATACGAATCTTATGATAATAGATAATTAATTTCTCCTATATAATTATAATAAACAGTTTCTATTCAGTGAAACCAACAATATTCTTCGATCAATGGAATTTTCTTTGTGTTTCCTAATATTTCTTAATTTTTCAGAAAACCGTCGTTGAAGTTTGTGTATATGTAATTATCATTCAGATTCCATTGTGCAAAAGCATCATTTCTTAAGGATCGCTAGCCTGACGGCTGCTGAAGTTGCCGCGACGCATTGAAATGATTCGCAGTCAATATGGCGGAGAAAAATGGCACGACAATGGGTGAAATTGGCTGGCAGCCGGACGTAAAACCGAGTCTCGAGACAATTCGGCGTAATAACCGCATTCGTTGTATTCTTGGGTAGCTAATTATAAGCTTGATAATGCCTAGCATCAGCTGTTATATTTAGGAGGTATTAACACCGATTCCGGCATATTGCTCGTTGCCAGTTGTAATAACGTACTACTAGCTTTATACTAAACAACTGCTGCCGCTGAGACGACAATAACGCTCGGAGTACAGCGATCGTATTTCAGTTAACATTAAACTCGTTACATATGATTCCTGTAATTATGTACCAGTGTGTGTTCAACACGTAATTGCCAATTTCACATTAGTGCGTGTATAAGACACTAATTGGTCTTGTTCGACTTGAGTATTATGTTCAAAAAATTAATATACTGTAGTCATTAAGGATTAGGGAACAGGAGATTCCGATTATATAAATAAATAGTACAAAGGACATTGCATTCAATTTAGGCCTTTTATTCTTTCATAATGTTCTTTCGCGTTACAATTCATACTTGCAAATATATAAAATAGATTTATATGACAATCGTCTTCATTCGCGTATCGATCGTACTACCACAGTGATTAATCGATAAAAGATAATAAAAGGGAAAGTAACATACACACATAACTTTTGCTATTTTTTTTATCGCTTTATTATATTTTTCCTTAATCACAATTCACTCTCATTTCATTTTAGTCACGGTTGAATTAGAATTACTTATAAATATTATCACTTTTGAGCGAGCGCACGTTTCGCAGGCAAAGTACAAAGTCTACGCAGTCTGATAAAGCCAATTCCGCCAAGATTCACTTCCTACAGCGATCCAAACCTCTGAACTCAGCTATGATTCGCCGTGTTGTCGAATTCAAAACGAGCTTCCGTGTCCGTCCAACGTGGAACATGAATGTATTATTATCCCCCCGATGAGAGAAGCGTGTAAACGCAACAAGAAACATCGATTTATATCCGTCAATATAAACCTGTTTCCCGACACCGAGTCGGCTCGCACCCGGGTTAATTCCGGCCTAGTTAGAAATACATTTTAGCCGATTGTGACTCCAAAAGCGACGGGTACCCCGGCAGAAATACTTTCCCAGCTATATTCACGTTGCGTGTACGCCACCGTAGCAGGCATCACCTACGAACCTTTAACTTCGTACATTTGCCAACGGCTACGTGCACAGCCTCCAATAAATTGCAGTCACCACGTGTAAAACAGGCGGCTCCGTTTTGCTCGTGGACGTGGCCGACACGAGGGGACCACGGTTCTCCGTGCCAAAGCTGATAATTTAGCCTGTCATGACCTCCATGAATTCTGCAAAACCGCGAAACGTCCGTTACGGTACACATAATCGATGCCCGAGCGGAAATCACGGCTAAACCGTAGTATATGTACAGTGTCATGCGTACCTTCGAAATCAAGTGTGCCAGATCCATCAGTGTCCACCTCCTCGATGATCATGTCGAGTTCCTCGGGGGACAACGCGTCGTCCAGTTCGTGAAGAATGTCACGGAACACATCGGTGGTGATGTAACCGTTCCCTTCCTTGTCGTAGAGACGGAACGCTTCCCTGAGCTCTTGCTGCATCGCCTCGGTGTCTGTGTCCTCCTCCATGAATCGGGAAGCCAGGCTGCAGAATTCTTGGAAGTTCAACTCGCCAGATCCTAGGATGCATATATGTCCATGTTATTTTGGATATGAAATGAATGCTCCCGTTGAATAATCACTTTTTCACTTCTTTCATTTAGTGACTATTCTGTGTACCTTGTTATGTTGTGTTTAGTAATAAGAACAATTATTGTTGTTATAGGCCTTAGGATTCTATATTATATATTCTACTAGAGAATTCTTGGAAGTTCAACTCGCCAGATCCTAGGATCTATATGACACATATGTCCATGTTATTTTGGATATGAAAAGAATGCTCCCGTTGAATAATCACTTTTACACTTCCTTCCTTTAATAAGTATTATGTGTACTTTGTTATGCTGTCTTCCGTAATAAGAATGGCTGTTATTGTTATAGGCCTTAGGATTCTATATTATATATTCTACTAGAGAATTCTTGGAAGTTCAACTCGCCAGATTCTAGGATGCATATGACACATTTGTCCATGTTATTTTGGATATGAAAAGAATGCTTTCGTTCAATGACCACTTTTACACTTCCTTTCTTTAGTGGAAGTTTGGTCAATTTTTTTATTTTGTGTTCTGCAATAGGGACGATTGTTGTTGTTATGGATCTTAGGTTTTTACATTCCTAGGATAAGTCGTAGGATATAGGATGGATTGTATAAGATTCTGTTTTACATACCGAAGGGATCAAATTCGGCGATGACCGCCTGCATCTGTTGCGTTGGGATTTTCATACCCATCATTGCTAGAATCGTACCGACCATATCAGTGTTAATGATTTCCTTCTTGTCAGGATCGAAAGCGTCGAAACCCATTTTCAATTCTGTAATCGAATAGATGATTGAAAAGTTGATACATTGTTACTGTCACATCATACTCCCTATTGAATAAATTAGTTACTGTATCGTAAGAACTTACGGGCAATTTGGTCCTTGCTCAGTTGAATATCCTCCTATGAATGAATATAAAGAATTGTCTAAGCATTTTTTCACAATTTAATTACACTACTTCTAATACAAAAAGAATAAAGTGAATAGAGGCGCCGAAGGAATATAGTACGCTGTGTTCCAATAATGCTTGGCATTGAAGCCATAAACGTTATAAAATTTAGGGCCATTTGAGTTACAAATGGCAAGAATTTTGTTTCTACGATATAAAAGAAACAGTATACAATCACGAATATTATTGCACACGGGTACAACGTTAGCAACGTGACATCGGTCACATATTTACAATAAACGCGGAGTAAAGTTTCAACGTTAATTTGGAAACTTCTCGATGCGTGGAACGTAAAACCTTTTGTGCACTTCGAATAACGAATGAAAGTGATAATTACCATGGTGTATTAACGAAAGGTTCCGTTCGAATTAATCACGGTATCACAGAAGTAAATGATTAACAGTTCCCTTCGGAGCAATCGCGTGTGAACAACTTACTGTACCGATGAAAATGTCACACTGAGCCTTAGTAAACTAATTAGTAGAGCTGCATAGACGCAACACTGCATTCTTATTAGCGTCGATAGGTAATCACCAATCATCTCTCGACTTGAAGGCACTATAAAAAGATTCTTAATCTGGATCCTTTCATGGTACACACTTTGCGAAACATTCCGTTGACGCAACAACTGAATGACTGATACCGCGTCGATGTATCAATCGACCATTGTCTTTTATTATACGTCTCCTTACGCGTTCACGAATCAGGGATCGGATAAACTTTTCTCTAAAGTATCAACCTAATAACGCACTTTCTTTACTATAATAGCATCATTCGTTACATTGGTCAGGATAATAAATAGTAAGGTATTGTATATTACGTCAAAAGAATAAATTTTATTTGTAATCTATGTCACTTTTATGTTTCAATAGAGAATAACAATGATAATCTTTACGACGCAAAGTAAGATTCAGAATTACCGAAAAACAGTTTTGAAGATTTGCAGGGTGTTAAATGTGGGATACGTTCACAGGGTGGATTCTACTTACGAAACTAAGACGTTCATTCTTGATCAAGGATGATGAATTTGCGTTCGAGACTCCGTTACCGAGTTATTAATTGTTGTATATACGGGCGAAATACTGGCAAAAAAACGTTTGACGCGACGGGTTATTCTACTTGAGAGGCGCGTTCTTCAACTGTTTCACGAGTTGGTATCATTCATTCTATTTTATTTCTTTCGTTAAATTTAACTAGGTCATCGATCGTTTCGCTGTATCAGCTAAGAATCGACAGTTCAAATAGTATAACCACGCCAAACCTTATTTTACGTTCATTTTTCCTATATTTTCAGCAATTAATAACTTAGTAAACGAAGCCTCAAACGCAATGCTCGCAATTCGTGACTTTCGACTCAGTATTTCATGTAAAATCCACTCTGTATGAGAATGTCCCACATTTTCATTGACACCCTGTACAGTGTCATGTTTGCAAAGATTCACGACTTATCCCCGTCAGATGGGCAGCTGACACCATCACATTCTCATACAACACTATATATTCCATTACATTAATTACATTCAAACTTAAAAAAAAAATTATTCTCATACTATTTTAAAGTCATTCCATTTTTCATTTCTACATATACCGTTCCATCATACCAATTCTATAATAATTTCGATGAAAATATAGTGCGAACAAAAATCTCCAAGGTCGCCTGTAAAATCGTTTCGTTCCATATTGTTTACAAATCGGTTCGTCTGTTGCAACGCGACCGTGCGTGGCGATAGCTGCTACAAAGTGGGAAAGGCGTGCTGCAGCGCCCGTTACGTCGCGGTTACATCATCCCAGGCAATGTCAAGCTCACGCAAATCCGGAACTTCGATTGGCAGCGTGTCTGTAGAAAGCCAGTGACGCGTCTCCGCGTATAGCCGGTCATTTCCACTAGCACGCGGCCCACCACCGTCGAGCGTGAAAACGGTTATACTGATTGCGCCGGCGGGGGTTCGAACGTACAGCGGTTTGATATTGGCATTGCGTCCTTTTAGAGAATTGCAGTGGTTTGCCAGACGGCTAGCGGGAACGCGTAAAAAAGCTCACCTGGCAGCCACCACGGAGGACGGGGACGGCCGCGCTGAGTGACCTCCTTAGCCAATCAGATCGAGCTTCGACGTTAGAGACGAACCTACTGACCTAATCGTTAAAAATAAACGCCAGCCGCAGGGCTAGCCGCTGATAGTAATCAAACGTTTCGATCAGAGGTGTCAACTTCTCGACGGCGCTAGACATCGTTATTAAAAAGAATTTGCTTTTCAGTCAGCGACTTAAGGTCAAACAAGTCGTATCGAAAAATTCTATATAATTGTTTCTCTTCCGAAATCGGTTAGATTTCCTTTGTTATTCGCGTCGCAACAGTACGACGTAAGAATTTTTTCAGTGGGGTTGTGTAGGAAGCTAATTTGGATCATGACGACATTGATCATTTTCGTGACTCTGAACACATTTTGAAAACAGCTGTTACAAGCACGTATGTGGACGATGTACATAGTATATTTTAGTTAACCCTTAACTACAGATAACTCGTTTCAGAGATGAATAATCCGACAACTACTTTCTAACACTTTTAATAATCAACTGAATATTTATTACTCGTTATCGTTTCAAAAATACTGTGCCACTGTCAGTTGAAGGTACTCTAACACCTAGAATTTCAAATATTCTCGGTTAGGTGGTGACAGTGAAAGAATAATATTTAAATCATTCGTTACAACTTATCATCTACTCAATATTCAATATCCAGATATTGTCATACTAAAGACGCCTAAAACTATTGTTCATTTAATAGTTCAAGATTATTAACTTCAATCTTACTAAAGAATTATTTCTTTGCCATTAAATTTCTGAAGTTCGAAATAATAACGATCAAGCTGTTAGATGTCATACTCTAAATTCTCGTCTTTCGACTCCACCGCCAGAGACAGGGACTGTATCTCATTCGAAGGGTGCGGTGGTAAAGGTGGAGCATCAGACTTCTGTTTCTCTAGTTCGCTGTTCAACCTCGTCAGTCTCCAAGAAGCCAACTGGGTCTCCGTCGCCTCGAGCTCCGAGACGTAACTATTCAAATCGCTTTGGAGGCTTACTCTCGAGATCCTCGATACTCTAGGAAGTGGCACGGGCACAGGTGGTAGGGGAGTAATATATCCATCCTCGAATTTATTATTCGCCGGGGTCACAGTTCCGAATCTCCGCTCCTTCCTGTCAACGTGGACCCCTTTTGGAAGGACGATCGCGTCCACGTTATTCTTCTTCACGAGCATCACACGTTTGCTGCATCGAAGCAACGACGGATATTTCATGATCACCAGGTAGGTGACAACGACACCAACGAGAAACAATAGAGCGAACGATACAGCCAATAGGGAGATGGCCTCGGCCTTATCCGAGTTCGTCAGCCAAGTCCTGGACTCGTATGCGGATCCCGTAGTCACGGCCAAGCAATTCAGCGGGGACACGGTGTCCTCGTTATCTCTGAGCAAACAGATCGTGTACGTGGTCTGCTGATCGATATTTTGCACCAGATAAGCGTGCCTGATGTTTTTTGCGCAGCTGACCGAGCCCTCGACGTCATCGTTGTTGAACCAGAACAACTTCGCTGCTTTGTCTAGGTTCGGGAGATTGATCAGGATGTACCTGTCCGTGGTCTTTAGGACGAAGAAATCGGTGAGACGCGATGGAAGTTGAACATCGGTAGAGAGAAGTTTACGTGACGTTGTGGATAATAAAGATTTTTGGATGTAAGATTTGGCGAAGCTACAGTTTATAGCGATAACAGGTGATGCGACTGTTCCTGTGGTTGCTGAAATCTCAGTCGTAGTCGGATGTTCTGGATTGTGATTCGTGGATGCTGTGCTACTGTTTTCCACCAGAGTGGTGGGAATAGTAGAATCTGATGGACAGAACTCTGCTCTATTGAACGACTTTCCAGCGTTCATTTCCGGCGTGCTACAATATAGGTCTTCGTTAAATATACTAGGACTATTAGTCTTAAGATCTTGCAACCATTTCAGGTTACATTCGCAGTTCCAGGGATTGTTGTGTATCGCCATTCTGAAATTCCTCTTGGCCCGGAGAATTGAATCGAACAATCCAGTTGGTAACGAGGTAATCATATTGCCTGTTATAAATAATTGTTCTATAGAATAAGCTATTGGGTCAAATGCCCTACGCGACACGGTCTTGATTCTCGAATCTTCAAGATAGAGGGACACGACAGCTGGTACTCCTACAAACAATTCATGACTGATCACAGGTATGGTGTTCCTTCTTAGTGACAGTATTTGAACTTTTGAAAGCGTTCCACCACCCAATATGTTTCGAAGCACCTCTGTATCGTTGATCGCTCGATTTAGCTCGAGGATGACCAGAGAATTCGCCACTGTCTCCAGTAAATTAAATTCAGCCTGACTGACGATATTGTCGCGAATACTTAGCTCCTCCAACGTTGTCAGGTGACGAAAGACGGCTTTACGCAAAGACGTGAATTTATTGTTCGTCAGTACGATCCTCTTGGTCGCCTCGAAAATGGACAGGGCGAAAACGTCGTCCTCTATTTCGCGGAGAGAACAGCTGTCGAGCGTTAACTCCTCGATCGACAGGTTGGTGCGCAGCCAATTCTTTCGAAGTGCGTTCTCCGTGAATGTGCAACTGTCGAATGACAGTTTGACGGACTTGGTATTCTTGCATTCAGCCTACAGAAAATATTTCTTGGTAGAAAATTGTGCTACCAGTTTGCGGTTAGTTGCCAAAAAAATAATCTTTATTATTTCTAAGTTTTAAACTTTCGTAATAGAACAATATGAATAATTAACTGTTGATCTGTGTACCTTGAAGATGGTTTCTATGTAGTCTGATGCAACAGCTCCTGCGTCGGAACTTTCTGGGTTGGACGAGCAGATTATGGTAGAGCATGACTTGATTCGACAGTAGTTCGAGTTTATCCTTTGATCGAGGACAGATTCAAAATTTCGATCAAATTCTGTATTAGTATTTGAGATCGTGGATACATGATTCGCTGTGTCATTTTTTACATTTGTTATTTGCAATCGTCCATAGCGTGGCCAAATTAGCAACCCTGTCGTACCGAGTGCTACAGCTGCCACCAGAAGCTTCTGCCATGCAACAAAACTGCAGTCGTTAATGCATTAAGCACGGTCAATTTAACCGATTTGTATTTAAGTGCCAAGTTAAACGTTTACGAATTCGTTAAACTATTTTGGAATGCAAGTAAGGATGGTAAAACGCTAATTTTTGATTATTTTTAAGATACAAAATCGATGTCTATAATTTATCAACAGAGGGAAGACTTGTAATATTCAAAAGTAAGAGGTTACTGCTAATATTTCTTAATTTTTCAACACAAATATTTATCAACATTTTATATTCAGTTCATTTATTATTTATATTTTCATGCAGTGGATTCTAATAGAATAAAAGTTCATTCTGTTTATTCTTGGGTATAGTATTAAAGAATTCCTTCTCTAGTGATATGTTGAAATTAACAATAAAATTGTATGGATTACCTTGGCAGTTTCTCAGACGTTGTATCGGAGGTCATGAAAATTTTTCTTCTCCTAGTAAACATCTGCACGTTCTATTACCACTCCACAGAGAAAGGATAGTTACAACCATCTGGCGAACACGGACACACAAACTAATTGTGCTGGAACTCTTGCCTATCGTATCTACGTTTCTCACTGATTAATTTTATCGCGCTTAGTTATGAAATATTGTTGATATTATTGTGTGACATTTGTTACTGTTATTATTACTTTATTATTACTCTGCTGTTACTTTTTGTTACTCTTATTATTACTTCTATTTATCCAACTCGTTGTAAGTTACTATAATGTTAACAATTTCTGACGTGATAAACGACAAGACAGATAAGAAGTAACAAATACTTCATGTTTCTACTTTTGGATACTGTTCTTCCCGCAAAATAGAACTAAGTCTGTACAGTGTGCCTGATGATCCAATTTATGCCATATTTTGAATCATTTAAACTTAACAGTATGGAGTAAGGAAGTAATGGCAGCAGCAGCTGTTGCAGATTTGCATTAGAAATGTAATTGCACGTAAATTGTTTAACAATGCATTGTCGAGTCTCATTTCACGCAGGTATTTGGAGTAAATATTAACCCCGTGGGCTGTGTGAATGTAGTCAAGTAATTATAATAATTAATGCCTTTACGTAACACAAACTAACAAGAAAATTCTTTGTGTTAAAGGTAGGTCCTCCATCATATTATGTTACTTATTTAATTTGCCTTGCTGTTATATTCTCGCAAACATTTTGTTCAAAACCAAACTTAATATACAATTTATCCGAACGAGTTTTAGGTAATCGAGATTGTAAAGAATGTTATCCGAGCATAAATTAAACAAAAAAATGCCGAATAACAACGTACGTAACACAAACTAACAAGAAAATTCTTTGTGTTAAAGGTAGGTCCTCCATCATATTATGTTATTCATTTAATTTGCCTTGCTGTCATATTCTCGCAAACATTACACAGTAGACATTCGCGGTTTATTTGCAAATTTGTTAGTGGGTATTTGTTCTATACGTGCATACTTTCCGACGGATACTCGCTGTGTATTCGTGTACTTTTCGGTAAACACTCGTTGTGTATGTGTAATTTTTTCAGTTACACAGCAATAACGAAAAGCTGCACGGTTCGAGGACACCTTTCCTATTCAACTTTCTTATTGACAATTTTCTGATATTCGCTGTGTATTCGTGTACTTTTCGGTAAACACTCGTTGTGTACGTGTAATTTTTTTCATTTTTCAAAGTGACAGTGATTCTTGTAACACAGACGAATAACATCAAATGCACTACAGTTTTTGCGAGGTAAGTTATTGCTCTCCATTGAATTTTCACAGCACTGCAGGCCCCTCTGTTTAGTTGACCTGTGCTCGCTGGTTGTCTGCCGTTTGCCTACTTTCAGGCAGTTCGCAGCCTACTGCTTATAACTAAAAAACGAAGTCTCAATCGCAACTCTATTATTCTTAATTTTCGTCTTGTTTTGGCACGTAGAATCATTCCTTAAATTTTCTAGCACCCCTTATTGCGCACCTTGTATACATACAGTTAAAAGGACAAAGGAATTGAAAGAATTAGTCTCCTAACTAAAAATCGATAGATTTATTATAATTCTAATAGACTTTACAATTAATTCATTGAGTATTTGATATTCTAAATACCTATTCTGCACATAAATTACTATTAAAACAAGTTCTATGTATAAAACATCGTAGTGTCTTATCAAATGCCTTCAGAAATGTAGTACGAAAGTTATGATACCAGTGTAAATATTACGAATGATATGTTTATAATAGAAAAACCCGTCGATAGAAAATACTGAGCTCTTCATGCACATTTGCAGCAATTGTATAACGAGACATTTTCTCGGTCCTTAGTGACCTCCTCGTCGACCGTGTTTGCTAGAGGTCGACCACGAGTTTCCGGCAGTATCAGGCATAAAAGACCCGCCATTAGGGTGAAAATACCGCAGAGGGTGGTTGGTCCCCACCATACCGTGGCGCCCAATAGATCAACCACATAAGGCGCCGCTATACTTCCCACGTGCGACATCGCCGAATTTGTCCCAACCGCGGAATTTCTGCACACCTATTTCCAAGATAATTGTAAACAGTCGTTAGAAACTTGGTTAAATAGAGTTTAGAATGGTGAAGATGTGTGTGTAACACCAGCAATTCTTGTGGGAGTGATATTCAGCCCCTTACATTAAAATTCCACAATAGAACGTCCAAAAGTTTTGGCTTAATTCAAAATTTACAGAAAAAAAAATTCTAAAGTCATATCAATTTTCGGTTACTTACAGAATAAGTTTATTTGTGAATTCGATATTTTGGAGGAATCGTTTCAGGAATGATTTTATTTAGCGATTAAGGTAAACAATTAGATAGGTCTGGGCGAAGAAAAAAAATGTTCATGACGATTGTACTTATTCTCACCGTAGGAAAGAGCTCTGAACTGTACAGAATGGCGATACCATAGGCAGCTGACGCGCTGAATCTCCCAATAAGGGAAACAATCATAATCGTGTCACTTTGTGCTACTGGTATTGTCAAAATACTTAATAAACAAATCGATGCTATAATGTACAGAGATCCGCTTCCATGCCGTCGTCCCATTACCATCAGAATCGGCGTCGGTATCAAATATGCCGGTATTTCAGTCAGTCCCATGACCATAACGTAAATATATCGATTCGCCGAGAAATTGTTCACATTTAACGCTGAAACAATAGAATTTTATTAGAAGAGAATAAATGTAAATAGTAACGTGTAAGAAATATTTAATTTAGTATTCATTACCCAATGCATAATAAGAGAGTGACGCGGTCATCCAGTTGAAATTCGTGATAAGGATTCTGTTTCTTAATTCACTGTTCGTAAGAAGAACCTGAAATCCTTTGACGTCTTTACGTAATCGTGCTTCGATAGAATTCTGAATGTTTGCAATCGAGTCGTCTGAACCTTTAAAATCTTGACACTGCACTGACAACTCTGTCGTCGCTGTCAAATGGGACGATTTTTTGCACGCTTTCTCGATTAAATATTTCGCCTCTTTGCGACGATTGTGCGCTATCAGCCATCTTGGTGATTCTGGCATGAACCTGTTCGAATTGGAGCAATTTCTTTAAGTATAGATATGTTATTCAAGTGTGTTATAAGTTGACTACGGATGTTAATGCATTTATAGAGTCAAGAAAGTCTTTTTATTAACATATTAAGACCCAACCCAGACTCCTAATAATAGAAAAGAAAATTGTCTAGTTGTAAGTTTCTGTCCAATTTACATCATCTCCTTCTAATATCTTCTAGTATCTTCAATTGGTTGTTTTACGTAAATTGAATAGTAGGAGAAGTCGGAGAATATTAGCCATCATTCGAATAATTTAAACGCTTACCACAAGTGTATCAATAAAATCAGAGCCGGTAATGATATTGCTAGTTGAACGTGCCTCCATTCGTGCAACAAATAAGCTATGCCTGGTACGATTACAGTACCAGTGGCGTAGCCTGTGTTATAAGCAATCCCCATCCACTGTCTGTGTTTCTCGTTTGCAACCTCTGTAACTGTACGAAAAAAATATTGACGATCGCGAAAAAAAAACAATCTCTGTCGATAAACGTCAATTCGAGAACTGTTGATATCAGGTGTATGCCCAAAATCTTTTAAAGAAACTACAAGTGTAAGTAATTCTATGAATAACGCTGCGAACTTCTAATTCACTATACCTATGTACACACACTACATTCTTTTTCAATAAAATTTCCGCAAGTAAGACTTATTCTAGTGTTATTGCAAAAATACATCCGAATTGTCCGCTGTTTATTTCGATATACATAATCCTCGACCTATTAACAATACTCCTTATCGATCAAAAATGATTTCATTTATTTGTAAAATAATAAATATAAATCTCTTCAAAACGTACGTATATTAACAATACTCCTTTAGTCTTTGCTATAATCTGTATCAGAAAGTTGAATTCTTGCTTGGAATTTCTAAACAACCTGAATATTAACTATTTAATAGAGGCGTAACCATTCACTACGCAACGAACGCAAGAAGTGGGGGCAGAAATTCGTGTAATTACGACGTGAAAGGAGACTTTCAATGCATTACGCGTAAAAATACCGTTTTATCGATAACCAAGTGACATTATGATGCAACGAAGGAATCGTTATTTAGTCCTCTAACATTATAAATCCGTATCATAATCTGCACCTACTACTATATAGTGTTTAATACTCATTGCAGTGCATTATATTGAACGGAAACTATTATACAGAAAATAATTTTTGTATTACTAGGTAAACATAGATCATAAACTTACGTGTCGTGAACGACGAATACTGTATCGCGGCGTGGCTGACGCCATTAAATAACCGTGAGATCATGAAACCCCAATACCATGGTAGAACGGCTCCGGCTGGACCGGATGTGATCAACAATATTATACCGATCACGTAACTGATCTTGCGACCGTATTTATCAGCGAAAATCCCAAAGAAGGCGCTGCCCAATAATTTTCCGAGGGACAGAGCCATGTGAGTACTTGAACGAGCCGCGGTATTGTCGCACACCAAGTCCCACTGAAATTTAAAAAGAAAACTAAATTATCCCTATTGCTCTGAATTTAATTTATAAGTATTGTGGAACCTCCATCTTATTATAATTATCACCAAACATTCTTGTTTTTATTACAATTTACTGTACACTTAACGTGATAATTACAATTTTAAATCAGTCTATATTTTGCACAAATATTCATATATTAATCACACGTAATCTTTACACTTTTTGAGTTTCAATATTGAGCTAATAATAACGAACGAAATATAAAAATTGGTATTGGAAATATCTTTATCGGGAATCTTATGGCCATGAGATAATGGTAAAGGGCTCAAGTATACAGTTTAATGGGGAGAAGTAAACATCTTTATTGTTTCTTCTACTAATTTCACGTCGAATTTTCATTCTCATTTATAAGTTGCTGAATATTCTGCTATCCGTGTAGTAACAAAGCTGCTTTCATTTGTTCAGATAATAGACGATTCAAGATACAATTTTATGCTTAAAAGTTATGATACAGATATTCGAAATGTCTTTTTTAGACATCGATTGAACATATGATAAGAAAAAAGAACTTAAATAGTTTAATTAAAAAAACTTTTAACGAAATAAACGAAAAAACTTTTTCGTTTTATTAATTTTATCTCATATTTTTATTCTCACTTCGAAGTAGTTGAATCTTGTGCTATTCATATATTAAAAAAGCTGCTTTTATTAATTCCGATAATAGAGGGCTCAATATATGACTTTTTGCTTACATCTTGGACAAATGATGTTCTATCGAAATCATGCGCGAAGCTCCTGACTGCGCAAGGTATTGCCTGTGGCAAGCTATTGTTACTCTTGTACTCCAAAGCTCGATCGTATCCAATTTTTACGAAATGTTCGTAGTCATAATTGTACATAGTGCACGAGGTGGCTGAAGAAATATTTCTTATTTCCTCGTCTGTCCAGTTCGCGGCGGTTAAACTCGGTACCGCGCACCAGTGAATGGGAACCTACATAACATGAAATCTGTTAATTATTACTGCAAATTATTACACGTTTCATACCACCGTTTAGAGTCACATGTGAGGAATATGGTCTCTCCTGTTAGATATACATTTTACTTCAATATCAGTTTGTTTACAGATTAAAACCAATGAAATGTTTGACACTTGGAGTACCATAACAAATTTTGGTAATAGATTAGAAGATAAATTTTTTTATCATACTTTTATCTTGATATATGAAACATCACTGTTCAATGATTTTTTCGAACTGGTGTTAGGTATTAAAGAATTGTTCGAGTAAGAAGCAGTTTGCAGTTTATCAACTAATAATAGTATGTTACATTTACCTCGGCAATAAAGATATAGGACATCGAATGCATTCCATTGAATATCGTCGGCGTGAGCGTGAAAATGAATATTATCCACAGGAAAATGGAACCACAGCCGAGTTTGTCGAGCGCCTCTAATAGAGGATCTGTGGTTTTTGCCTTTACTGTGTCGTCTTCTTTATCGTCGATCATATTTGTTTCTGAGCATTGAAAAACGTTCACGTAATAATGTTTCTTCTTACAATATTATTTTTTTTTGTAAAGAAATATTTATACTTTGAGCCATTGCAGGGCAAATTATGTCTAGTCTTTTTCCAAATCAACGACAAAATAATAAAAATTTAGTTTACTTCCATTTTACAGCTTAAAAAAACGTAATATAAAATGAAATGGGGTCCAAAATTGTGTCAAAATCTTCGAGACATAGGATCATAAAGAGTTAATTTCAGCACCAGTAATTAAATTTCGATAAATACAATCATCTGGAATATATCCTTAAAAGTATATTCATTTTAGTAACACGATAGATACGACACTAAAAATTTTGCAATCAGTATTATTTTTAAAAAGCAATTGAATACTTATCGGTCTATTAACACGACCGAAACATGTTTTACCGAAACGACTCCACAATCTCAAAACTTTCGTGAACACTCTACTAGCACCTTGAGAAGCATCTACAAAGTGTTACAGTACCCGAGAAACACGTGTACTTACCAACTGATTACTATTATCAGCTCCAAAATCGATTACAAAAAAACGGTCAGTCGAAATCAATCATTTCCAAAGTCTCTGAAACAATCAACAGTCATTCGTGGTCTCACGTGTCTGCACTCTTGTACATAGTGATCTAAATTTTCATGAATCCGTTTTCTCTCAACAACATTCTCTTATACACGTTGTCACATTATATTTCGTCTAGACGTACCCACAATTTCGTAAACACATCGTGACACTTTAAAACAAAACAGCTTTCGCTTGTTCAAGGTTTATTCTTTCTCTTCTTATCGGTCTTTCACGTTCACCAATCTTTCGATCGATTGGTCGGTAACACGAACGCGATTCCGCTACATTTTCCGTTCGTTTCCTCGACGAGACCTTCCGCACGATCGTGTACAACTGACTGGCTGATGATCGCACGTTTCCTTTGCCACGTATCTCGATTAAGCAAGTTTCTGATCAGGTACGACTGTACCGACGTTACATCAAACGAATCCGATGGCCATCATGTGATAATTCGCAATTGATTCGCATACTCGACGTCTATCCATAAGGATGCATTCTGACACTTGAATAACACCGACCAGACTACATATACAGTTCATTAACTTGCCTTCGAACATACATTTACACAAGTGACAGTTCACCGAGTTTTCGTTTCAATTTAATTCCTTTCCGCGAGAAATTTTACTGGTTATCGAACTACAAATTGAACGACGCTAACCAGTCTTAGACTCGATGTATATGTACAATTTATTACCTTCCAATCGAACATATATTTCCACAAATGACAGTTCACAAAATTTTCAATTTGTTCTTAATTTCTTTCCGTGAAAAATTTCACTGTTTCAGCAACTGTCGACTCCGTACGTTCTAGTGAGTTCTGTTTATCCTCGCCAGCTCATAAACATTACGGTCAGAAACGTGGAACTGCAAAATTTATCGTGACTCGTTAAAGACGTATCAATGTTAAGTGAAGGAGAAGTAAATAGCATATTTTTTTTGCATTTAAATTGTATAAATCGTTCCATGTATTAATCTTAACCAAATTCTCGTTGAAGAAATTCTAGAATTATTGATTTAAATAATTCTTATGATAATGCAACAACGTGCGATTAGAAATGTAATTCCTAACTATCGAACGCGTTCGATGAAATATGACACGAGAATAGAGTTGCTTAGATCGCAGGTGGCAACTCATTGTTCAACAATCGCGTTAATTGCGATTGTTTCAACGCGATCATAAATACGCAAGGTTACTCGAGCCATTAGTACGTTACTGGCGCGATTATCAGGTCCATTAAGTACATTTACTTACAGCTTATCACACGAAAACGGCTTACCGGCGTGGTACGACTGTTATGAAATTCGCTCGACTATTTTGAAATTCGCTCGACTATTTTCTGCCGTCTAATGAGTTGTGTTCTAGGCAAACAAACGTTTAATTGCAACCCATTAAAAGTTGTAAATGCATAGTAGATTCGAATCCGATTGTATTCGGTGTCTTTTATCGTGTCGAAAGCACGTGTACCTATACGATATCGCACCAAAGAGTGACGACTGCGAAATGCTTCGAGTGCCAAAAACCTGATCAGCAGAAACGACGATTGCGAAACAACCGGTTATCTAAACAAGCTGAACACTGATTTTTTTCTGAATTTTAACCTGTCAACAAAGTCATTTTCCTGTGGGAAAGGTCTATACAGATACGATTCGTACATTTCATACTGGAACTGTCGGAACAGTTGCAATGACATGTTCACAACCTTAAATAATTATTACTTAAAATGACAGTGCATTTTCTGAGATCTTGGGTGACATCTGTTGCAATATTTAAATCAACTAATTAATTATTCTCTTTGTAGGTCGGTTGAAAGTATAGATGAAAATGTTAATTACAATCCAATTTTCATGACGTTATGAAAGGATTTGAAGGACCATTTTATATTTTTCAGTTGTGGCTGAAACAATAATAACTTTAGCTTCTTTAAACTGCTATTGATCTGTTATCGATCTCATAGCTTCTATTTTTGAAAAAGATGTGTTATCCTTAGTAAAATTGTGAAAATTTGAGCATTGATATTGGAAGTTCTTATACGAAAAATGGATACCGAATCATCTGAGGTATTTTGATTTAAAAAACGTACGGTAAGAAGTCGCTTACATTAATAAAATTATTATTAATTATGTTATAGTTGAAACAAGTAATTTACGGAAAATATGGCTGGACAGAGTCATCATCTTCTTTGATTAACAGGTTAATGAAAATGCACTATCCAACTCTTATTCAGTGTTTTGTTTAAAATTCCGACTACAATATATTTTTTCCCTAAGTGACACAGGGGATCTTTTTTATTTTTACAAACATTATTCCATATCATTAAATTAACGAAAATGCATCCTTATCAAGGTTTCGTTAATTTTTACAAAATGTTATACATTAATAATGAGCGAGATCGAGGAAGGTCGTTGACCATTTATCTTCACGATTTAACCAAACAGAGCCTGTCGACTCGAAGCGATTTAATTGTCATATTTTTGAATGTTCGACACCTCGAGATTAATTTGCAATCTTTGGTTCTTTTCCATGCGACACAAAAATGAAACTACAGTTTCTTTGAGGTACTTCGTTTGTAAAATTGTCGTTTTGTTCCGTATTTGCTATTAAAAGTCATTGGTAAGTTATAACAATACGTCATTAGACAAAAGTCAGTCTCAAAGTCTTGCATACTTCAATATTATATTTTCTTGAAAAAAAAATGTATATATCAAAAAGTATTTAATTTATCAATTATATAACATTATCAATTATTATCTGTTATTCCTGATTCCTGTTTTGCTCCTAGTTTGTTTTGCTAAATTCTGTTGGTTTATTCATCTTATTGAGACAATTGAAACGAGTTTTCCATTGAGCTTAGTATATTTAACATTGCTAGGTATGAAAATAAATTGTCTGTAATCTTTGGCTAATCTTAAAAATAAGAGATCGGTTTGCGGTGTACGAATTACAGTTCCTACTATTTATTGATATGTACTCGTCGCACCATAGGAACATCGTAAACTAAATAAAAAAACGCATTCACTATGTGATTCAAGGCTCGCGACCAGGCTTCGATCTTGTAATTAAGTTCCTTTGAAATTGAGAATACTTCCTTCTGTGTTTCCGGTTCGAGTGGTCTGAAAAGTAACAAGCATAAGTGATTTCCTCTGTATAATTCGCTAATAACAGAAATATTTCAGTTATTAATTCTATATTTCGTATTTTAAAGTCCACATGATTTAATAGATTCACATAAAAATAATACTTGCTTCGTTAGATAATCATTTATTCGTTACTTAAAATGAAGATATAGAAATAAGAAGTAGATATTTGTTAGATAATATGCAATTATTATGATACGTTATTGAATTACCGTCACAGATATTTTGTGTTGCTTCAGGAACAAGCAAATATTTGACATTAGCTACATATGTATATGTATATGATCGTGCAAAGTGAAACGAGGCCGACTATTAAAGAATTCTTCACTTGTAAATACTTCTACCAGAAATAAACTAATAAAAACTATATAAACAGTTATAACTACATTTGAAATTGAATTTTAAAATAATCAGTTATCTATTGTATATACCCATTTGTATCCGATTGTTGTTTGTTTCGGTTGTTGTAAGTGTACATGTAGCAAGCCGGATAAGCGCTCGTCGTCTTGACTCGATGAAATTGTTCAGTTTTTATTGGAATCGACGATTCTTTCGAAAGAATGACACCTTCCGTTTGGTTCTCGTCACTGTACGTTACTTCACCTTCGAGCACCGTCAAACTGACGTTAGTGAAATTTTTAGCGATATAATTGTCCAGATGCATGCCAGGAAAGTCAGCGACAAAGAGAACGTCCGTGTCATTTGACCATGTGTAGACGTGTTGCTGAATTTCTTCTATCTTATATCTAATTATGAAATAACAATTACAAATTTCCATGGAAAATTATTATTCAGAGTTCTTTCACTTAATTCAAACTTATGTTATATAATAGATTGTTTTTCATTGTGAATTTCTGGAAAATCGAATAAAGCAGAATAAAAAATGACTAGCAAATATTTATATAGAGAGTTAACATGGACCAATTAAATGTTAGTAAGATTTACTATGTTTAGCAAAGTATTCGTACCTACCTGTACGAACTATATTGCGACAGAAGTGGCATTAGAAACGAAATAGGCCTGAACGGATGCCAATCCACCGTTAGCAAGTCAACATTGGGATCAAACATCCTTTGCTGGAATCTTCCGTTCAGAGAACACCACACGTCGATGTAGATGCTCAAGTTCGAAGACAAACTCGTCCATTTTGGATTCCTTTTATACTGATGACCATTTTGCAACATATACTTCTTTTGCTCGATCAAATTTTCCTGCAATCAATTATCAAACAATATTTAGTCAATCTAAGTCTATCAATAGTTCAGTTAATCTGCTAAATTAGTGAATTATTAATATAGATTCAAATTCGACTAACTTATAACAAATATAAATGATACATGCAATAGAGTTAAAATGTCTGCACGAGTGATCGAAAACGTTACTCAAGTTTATCCAAAAATTCAGGTTCACTTTAGTTTACTTAAAAACTTTCGTTTACTTTAAATTTACTTTTCGACTACCAAGTATACGATCTTAAATGTGCACCAGATTATATGCGCTATCGTGCTAATATCATCCGCGCGACTAATTACCCGAAACTCTCGTGCAAACATACACAGCAATTACATGAATTCGTGATAGGAGTTTATTGATCAAGATAACAGGTACCCGTAGACAGAAGGCGTATTGTCTGGCCATGTCGCCGTGTTTCTCCCATCGATCGGTTTGCACCCAGGCTTTCGGATCCAAGAAACGATCCTCGTTACTCACGTTATCGTGAACTTTAATCACGACGAGTATGGTGTCCCATACGTGGACCATCATGTCCCAGGAGTAGCCGTACAAACCTGGTACCCAATTATTGTAACCCTGAAGATAACAATATTCATCTTAATGAACACTGGACGATATTTTTTAGAATATACAGATCAACGAGTTTGAGAATATTCATAAAGATAGTTTTTCCACACAAACACTTTAAGTAATAACAACTGACTTTTCTTAAATAAAATATTTTATACATCACAATGTAATTGTGTAAATTTAAAGAAGCCAACAAATTTTTGGGTTTTCTCGTTATTTTTCAGAACTGTCTAATTTCTATTCCATAAGAACTATAAATCTTGCAAAAATTCACGATATATGTACTGTACCTTTGTAATAAAATGAGAGTACGGAAGGAAGAATTGTAGACCAATATGAAGAAGTAAAAGAGAAACGACAAATCTTTGCCTCCTTGTCACGCTTTTCGATTTGAGATTTCCTTCCTTTATACGTTTGCAAACAGTTTTGATCCCGCTGACTTCACGTTCTGAAGTTTCCATTTTAGAGTCTTCACTTTTAATTACGCACGATGATTTCGTATCTGTTTCGACTTCATCTCGCGAAGTGAGCATTCCCTGTAGATTCGATGCATCTTTAATTGTTTCCTTAGAAGATTTTTTATCGTATATGTTCGTAAATTGATTTAAAGAAGATTCCTCGCTGTCTTGAAAATTCTGATTTTGTATAAAAGCTGAAATGCAATTGCGTTTGCAACAGGAAATGAACTTTCGTGGCCAGTCCGTGTTGCAGAAGAGGGGCATGGTCGCAAGACACACGTACGGAAACATTCCTGGGAAAACAGAAGATTAATTTAAATTAACTGTTTTAACGATAACTCAAAATTACCAGAAGAATTCATTCTTACCTATGCTGAATAATCTAGAATTCATTAAATGGAAAACAGTACAAAAGATCATGGCAGGAACACGGGTTCTCTGGAATAACATCCAAAATCCCACCGTCAAATCAAAGATACAACCGAACCAGTGAACTATGAAGAAATCAGTTTGCTCAGTGGTCAAGATCAACCTGAAACATCAGAATAATTAAAGGATTGCGTTAATATTATTTAGGAAAACAATTAAGTTATAACAAATAGATGAAATAGTTGCTCCGTACACTCACTTGAATGGACTGAAAACCCAATGTGCCGATAAATTCGTCATGGCGTACCCAGACAGCCATTCTGCACCAGATTTTTTTAAACCAGCTAGAAAGTACAGCACGAAGAATTGGAATTTTAAGATAAAATAATTCCATAACGGCACTGTACTCGTGGTTCCCTTCTGTTTGTTCGCATCCAAAGCACTGTAAAAAGTCACCAGTCTTTAGCATTTGACTTATGAGCAAATCTATTAATACCTTTCTCATCATTTCCAAGTCGATACAACGACGATAATTATCGTATAAAATTACGATTACAACCGTATAAAAGTGAAGCTGACTTAAAATTTCCGAAAATTCCAAGATGATTGTCAAAGTAAAACGACCTTTGAACAGAACTTTTTTCAGTACGTTCGTGAACTTTTTAAACTCATGTCCGTGGTTTTCGAAATCGTTTAATTAATATTTACAAGATCCTAACTCACGTCTCCGATTACGGACCGGTTTTCCCATTCAGACGAGACATTTCCTTTCAAACTCACAAGTACTTATTAGCCTCCGTACCCCAGAGGAGAGTCCCAACGATCCCGTACAGGTACGTGTGATTGTTCCAGTAGGTTTTATCCAGTAGGAATATATACCAATAAGCGGCCACGAAACAGGAACAAGCGAGCTTGAAGCGCCATCCGAGCATAATTCCAAACGCGCTCATCCACATTATCCCGTAAATCACTATGATCCATGGTAACGACGGTGGTTTCATTCCGTGGATCAATGGGAAACGGCACTCTGATGGATCTCCCCATTTTATATCGACGTCTGCTAGACCTCTCTCTTCGACGACGTCCAGCACCATACAGAGACCTATAAATTGTTTACTGAAGCGACATTATGAACTACTACACTGTTCAAAAAGTTTCACTATATAAATGAAACGGTATTACGTTGTTTCAGAATTATTCCACTTGTGGTTGTCTGTTATTTCTGAAATTACGAGGAAACACTTACCGAAAAGTGCTCTGACAACTCCTAAACTGGCTGCGTCAGTTGGTTGGTACAAAAGATTCGTGAATTTGTCGAAGGACGACACATCATCCAGTCGGAATCCGCAGAAACGTTCGAATTTCCTTGTGATCGAACTCTGTTCATCGTATTTGGCACAGTTTTCTCTTTCAGGCGCACAGGTTCGAGTGCTGGCTGACTTTATACTTTCCTTTCTCATCACTGGTTAACCATTCAGATGAACTTTAAAAATAATCTGGAAACAAGGATAATAATAGCACTTGTAATAGATATATAGTTTATTATTTATATTCAATATATTATCGTATCGACAGTGTAACTAAAATAGATAATGCGATGAATATAATAGAGCACGTATTATAAGTATACTACTAATATTTATACGAGCGTAGATATTTGTACACTAATGTATAGAAATTAGGATCAGATAAAAATTGATTTATTCTATTAATGATTTATCGAGTTCTAACTAAATTGAAAAATTTGTTAAACTATATTGAACTTTTTAGCTATACTAACTCTAAGGCAATAATTCATGCTAGAAATATATCAAATCCGTGAATATGTAATCCGTGAAATATAGAAAATACCTAGTTACAATGTAAAGTCTGCCTCAGGTCGGGCTTGCAACAGATCGTCTGTTAAGTTTCCGTTGCAGCATATTGACTGGGTTAGATCGAGACTCTAAATTCCAATTGAAGTTATAAAAATTATTGATATCGACCGATATAACAAGTGGGAACTAAAGCTGTTAAAATACTATGTATTGTAATTTTAGCTATTGTTAAACGAATATTCCAAATATCACTAGAACAATAATTAATAATAATCAAAATAATTAAAAATCAGACGCAAGAGCTACCTGAAGATTATACACATGACAATAAGGGCACGAAAACCACTCTGAAACATTCAGATCGTTTAATCGACTGCTCAAGGAACGATCGACACCAACCGGTACACGAACAAGTTCGTTGAATTTTGACACCGAACTCGGAGTCCAAGCACAGGTCGTCTACCTGATAAGAGGCCAGCGCAGACAGAGTCGATTCGACTGGATGATTGCATTGTAAATGAAGCGAATGGATACAGTAAGGCTCTCACCTAGGCGGCCGAATGGAGCGTGCCAAAGCCAGAAGAGATGAAACCGGTCCGATGAGGATGTATCGAAGGTTGCTCGACTTCTGCGCGTTACAGCTGCAGGAGTAGTCGCAGACGAAGAAATTCCGGATGCTGAGTGAGAGCAGGAGCACCGTCGCCAGGCAACATGCTCGATTATTGACCCGCGCCCGCGCAATAATAATATATTATCGAGCATTCTTCAGCGATGCGCTTAAGTTCATCGATGCACTTTATCAGTTGATACTCAAAATTTTGCGTTAGTTTTATTTCCGACACCTATACAGAGAACTATATATGTATGTGTTTTATAAATAGATAAATATTCTTCGATAGGTCGTTTTCAATTAATTTAGAAATCTTTAAGTAGATTTTTGCAAGGTTTAAATGTCTTATTGTTTTTGGTCAAGTCATTTGATAGATTGACCTTCAACTATTTGGAAATATTGGAGATACTTTGTATTTGACGGAACGAAGCGTTGATTAATAATAATTAAACGGCTACATGTCGTGCGATTCCGTTTAAAAATAAGTTATCGATGTGCTGCTATCTCGGTTAGTAACCGTACAATATATAATTATATAACAGTGTCCAAGTGGTTTATTGACATTTCTGTCGGAGGGGTGACAGACTAGAGTCTTTATACGATTGCGTATCTTTCAATGGAAAAATAAAGAATATGGACACACCTTTGGAATTGTATTCAATTTAGAACGTGTACAGTAAGTCACGATAATTGTGGATGTATAAAGTTAATTTCTGAATTAAATTAAAAGGAATGACAACTTATGGCATGAATGTTTGTAACATAAAATAATGATCTATAGTCAACAGGGGCATTGGATAATAATCAGTGTCTCGGACAACAACCCACCACCGAGAAAATCGGAAATTTTCATCAAGAATGTCCCGAGAGATTTAACACGACGAGTAAAGGCATTAATTCGAATCAATTCCACTGGAGCGAACAGCTTAACCCCTTCTCATCAACAAGCTGATGAACCGTCAGCACGATTATTTTTGCCATTACTTCTGTCTACTTTCGCGGAATTTCTAGAAACAAAGTCGGATATTAGTCTAATAGTAGCAAAGCAACATTCATTTATTATTATTAAAGAATTGAATAGATCATGTTTAATGTACTAGTGTAAAAATAACTAGTGTTTAATTGATTGAATCAGACCAATCTGAGAGGACCGGGGAGCCAATCAAGATGATAAGTCACAGATCCTGGAATCCAAAACAGAGTAGTCCTAGACCAAGAAACCCAAGCAAAAGGATCCCAGGACCCACAGACTCAAGTGAAAGGAGCTCCAGACTTAAAGATCCAGTCCAGAAAAGTCCCGGAGCTACGGACTCAAGACAGACGATCGTCGGACTCAGGAGCCACAAACAGGGGCCTTCAAACGAAGAGTTTTAAGCTTTGGTCCCAGAATTCGGAGGTCCTTCGGCTTGGATCCTTTGGCCTTTGACTATTCTGACCGGGGCTGTGACAAAATTTGCATGGAGAGGGCTCTCGACTCATTGCCACTTTATTCCCCTACAGCCCCGACCATGGCAATATCGTAAGAGTCCACTGTATTCTAATTTGAGTCTCCTACGTTTTCCGGTTTAATTGTCTAGATTTTGGGTTCATCTTATTCGGATCTCCTCGTCTTGGGTTGACCTACTTCAGGCCTTTGAGCCCTGGGTTGTGCCAGGTCGACTTTCTCTATCTGGAATTTTTCCAACCTAAGTTTTTCAGTCCTGGTTACGCATACTTCAGTCTGTCGTTCCAGAGTTGATATGATTCCTGTGTCTATGTCTTAGGGTGATGAGGTTCTTGTTTCTCTTGTACGCTCTATAAAATGAACTTACTCAAAGGGTAATTCTAAATTCCTTCCTTGGTCCTTGGTAACTATTGATTGGTTCTACGCAACCTTCCAATTATGTATAGTCTATTAATTTGCCTATTTTCAGCTACTACCATTTTAGACGTTCATATTACTTCTCTCCCTTTCTGGTACACGTAAGTGATGATTTCATTTCGTGCACAGGGATATTACTTTAACGGTATAATGCGTATTCGAGAACAACGATTACGTAGTTTTTTAACAAAGCACCGTGCCTTTTTTGTCTCGCAGCTGGGGTGTTCGGATGAATGGACATAACTTTGCGTTCTAAATCCCCAACGGCCGTTTTAGAGCCGTAAAACAAAGGGCTGATTTATTTCTGCACGCCCCTCAATCTGTCTCCGCGGTCCACTTTTGATTAGTGCTGCCTCTTCAAGGTTCAGACCTATGGAACTACCACCACCCAATGGAACTTTGTTTTATTTGTCCCTCTATCATCTTCTCGAAGCAATGACAAATTATATATTGCCGGGCATAACTATAAAACCATCCTAAAAGTTTCAACTCTTATGTATTGTGATTAAAATAAAAACGAATCAAGTATGCCATGTCTGAAATCGTGTTGAGAAATAATGTTTCTCCAGAGAAGGGTAGATTATTTTCTCTAGAAAAAAAGTGATTTGTTTTTATTTTAACCATGATACAATAGGATTAAGATTCTTAGGGTGCTTTTATAGTGATGCCACACAGTATACTAGACATTAACATTTGAATATTAAATAATACATAACTGTACATACTTCTTTGTTCATAATGATAAAACCTTTACTGTCTCAAAGTAAATGCTTGCACATATGAAATTTCCATTCATAAAATATATAAAAACTACAGAATTACCATGAGGTATCAAAACTTTAAAAGTCGAAGAGGAACAGTTCATCGACAGAACAAAATAATGAAATTAAACAGAGAGAAACAGCGCATCATTTCTAATACAAATATTAAATTCTCCGATACATCGCAGTGTTCAAATATTAAAACGATCTACCCTGAAAAAATTGGAAGATTTCAAAAAATTCATTACGATAACAAACATTTTTTCATCGTCCACAATTTTCTTCGGTACGCCATCGGAAAATCGTACGGGGACACGTGAGCTCGGAAATTAACGCCGATATTTGCCTACGCGCGCATAGAAACCCCATCAACCCCCGCGCGCTATTTGCCCAGCGTATTTGTTCGGGAATATGAATCAGTCCACCTGGAAACGACCAAGGAGAGAGAGTTCGAATAAGAGAGAAAAAGAGAGAAAGGAAACAAGAGAGCGACGCGTACCGAAAGGAGATCCGCGATTGTCGTATGTATTTGCCCGGCTATTTATCACGGTTTATTATTTCCTATTGTCGATGGAGTCACGCATTGTTGGCGGACGAGGAGGGCCGAGGCGAATTTCTAAAACCGTGTCCGATCGAATTTGCATATTTCAATCCCTGTACCGCGCGCGCGCGTGTCGGGCGTCCGATTACAGGCCCTATTAATTGCGGTTCCGCATTGTTCTCCCCGATAACGGGGGCACGATACTAAGTTCTAGCTTTCCCTCTCCTTGTGCTCGGGTTGATTCACTTTTCCAGGCTCCACTTGCGAATTGCGGGGTTGTAGATTGAATAGGGTAAGGACCCGTGGCTCTGGCGACGTTACTGATCGCAAAACTTGTGAACTCCAGTTCACGGTTGATGCAATTTCCTAGTTTCATTTTTAACATTAACCTTATATCTAAACTTCGAATTTTATGCATTTGTAGGATATATGATCGTCCAGAAATCAATATAGCAAAGAGAAAAAGATGAAATTTATTATTCAGGAAATCACGAGGAAATGTGTAACCCAAGCTGCATTAGGCGGATGCATATTTATCTGAGAAGGAGAAGAATTAAAAGATGTTGCGGAAAGCTGCGCATGCTATAGTGTACATGAGAGAATGGGGTAGAAATAACACGTGCCTCATATATTCTAATCTACATTTACCATACTCAAGAGAATACAATTGCTTTACATCCTTAAAATTATAAAGTCAAAGAAATGGTTACTATTCGCTACTTAAACAATAAATCAATAAACATTGCAGTACGCATTTCAATATTAAACACAACACATTTACCCCTTCAGTTATTGAAGATGTACGTAAATATACACCGTCGTGTGTCAATCAGTAGTTACAATAGGCTTATACATATACACGCGCCTAATAAATTTTCTCAACTATAAGAAAT